GGGCATTATCAGACTTCAGAAATTCACTCCACCTTGGAGCACTCCTGAAGGGACTTTCTTTGTGGCCCAAATGGCTGCTAAGCCCGTCTCATCATCCATCATTATTCACTTGTTTAAGGCAATGAGGACTCGGGTGAAGTAAAACCTCAGGAAGTCATAAACACTTTAGCATGAACTGGTTTTCAAAAGAACTTAAAACCTGCAGGAATGGGATATGGCACAAATGCACTTTTTTAATCCTCGCCCAAGGATATGTTTATTGATTTTAGAGAAGAAGGGAGAGAGATGTGACAGAGAAATATTGATCAATTGCCTCTTGTATGCCCCCCAGCTGGGGATCAAACCTGAAACCTAGGTATATGCCCCGACCGGGGACAGAGCCCACAACTTTTTGGTGCACAGGACAATGCTCCAAGCAACTGAGCCATCTGGCTAGGGCAGCACAGACTTACTTTGCTTGTGGGAGGTAAATGAAGAAAGGCTAGGGCGGCAGGCTGAAAGGGGAGATGGGGAAGTGTAGACCAGCCTTCCCCATTCGGTTTCCCTCTGGGCAGCCCTTCCAGTGCCCCTTCCCCAAACACGTTTGTTCACTTGTGTCTTCTGTTCCTAAAGCGAGCATCTGACATTTCAGTCCAACTTTTTTCTGCCATTTCTTCTGCTTTGGGAACAAACTTACTCTCAGTTGAAGGCAATGGTTTTTAATGATAACGATCTACTCCTTTGAATAGATAATACAAACTGTGAAACCTTTTCTGAGAAGTATACACATCTCTCTAAAGTTTTACTTAGAGATCCAGAGGTCCTCCGGCCTTAAGGTTAGAAGCCTCTAGTCCATCTAGTGGAACATATAATGAATGTGGTGTCAGAAGGTTGGGTCTTAGCTCTGGTTTTTACAAGTTCTCTGGTGTGTGTATTCGGGGAAGTCTCATCTCTGTGCATGAGTTTTTCTATTTACAGAATTGGGGAATGACCCAACATGAGATGGGCTGGGCAGTTTGAGCCCAAATCTTCAAAGAAGCCCCTGGGTAAGGAATAGAGGTGGAGAAGACTTGTCACCATTCATTCTTGAGTTCCAACAGCCTCTGGATGCTCAAGCTCTCTCTGGCTAGTGCTGGAACTCTGAAGGGCCCAGTGCTATCTGGCTGGTCCTCTTAGCTCCTTCTGCAGTGGGAGGGAGCAGGGAGGCTTCCCTTTGGGGTGGCTCTCAGTGGCCCTGAACAGGCTTGAATATTCATGCGCTTCCTTCTGCCCCCTGCATTGTTCAGTCTTCCCAGCTGCCTTGTTGGCTGGGGCTGAGCCCCCTGCTCCATCGGGAGAAGGTCAGGCTCTTTCACTGCTGGGAAGAATAGCTCGGTTTTGTTTAACTCCTCAAGAAGAATGGTGCCCAGGTTGAAGAGGCAGGAGGCAGAGAGAGACTGGGGGCGGGGCTCTTCTAGCCCAGCTGTGGCCCTTTTGAGAGGTGAAAGGAAGATTTACGATGCCATTTGTCAACTGGAAGATGGATGGAGGTCCCCAGACTGTGAACTCCGTGTTTGAAGTGAGAGGTTATGGTGATAAATGGGGCCCCCAGAGATGTAACTGTTGGTGGTGGGATCACCCCTCTTAATGGAGATGGTTCCCAAGCCCCCTCCTTCCTCTCTCTCTCTCTCCCGATGGGCATTCTTTGTTTCTCTGTGAGTCTATCACTCTGTTTTGAGCATGGGCAACTATTGATTGATCATCTGTGTTCATGAAGGGGAGTGTCGTCCTGCTGAGGAGAATTCTTTCATGTTGGTGTCCTGAAACAATGAAGCAAGGGGAATGGCAGCAGCAGTTTATTTTTGGCTTCTGCATTCCCGTGTTTTGCTTGAAGTATTGGGAACAGCCTAAATGCTGTTCAGCCCTTATTTGATGTCTACCTTTGATCTCCATGCAGACACGGAGGAGCCTGGAAGTGCTCTCAGAGAGTGTCCCTACGATGTGAGATGGGACAAACTCTAGGGGAGAGGTCTAGGAGAGCCAGGACTCTGTGATCAAAGACATTCGAGAAATGTTGTGTATACATCACGGCCTTACCAAGTTAAAATGCACACTGGCACAGGGAAAGGTTGGCAACGTCCTGTAATAAAGAACATAGTTCGAGTGTAGACTTTTTCATCCTTTTGGTCACTTAGGGCCCTTTTTTTTGCATGATACTTACTAACCATTCCCCCCAGACCACGTGTAATTCAGAACCTACTTTGGGAAGCCTTGATATTTTAGCAAAGTGAATTGGCAACAACTGATGATTGAACCAACTCAGGCCCCCAGGTGGAGCACAGATTAGATGGTTTTCGGTCCAGCATGGCTGTAATGCTTATGGATGACTTTTGCAAATTTTGCATGTTTTGGTTTTTTCATAATCCTGCTATGTAGAGTTGATCTGTTTAAAGTGGGCCCTTACTGGAGTGTGATCATAAGTGGATCTATTGTTTAAAACCTGTTTACTGAGGTATAACGGACACATAATAAACTGCCCATATTTAGAGTATACAGTTTGACACCTTTGGGCGTATGCCCACAGCTGTAAAACCTTCACCTCAGTCAAGGTAATGAACGTACCTGACACTCAAAAAGGTTCCCCAGGAGCCTTTTTAATCTCTTCTTCCTGTCCCCCACCCTCATGCTGCCACCCACTCTCCCCACCTCCAGGCACCCACTTTGGGCAGTTTCTGTCACTATGGAGTCATTTGCATTTTTTTAGAGTTTTGTGTGAATACAATTTTTAAAGTCTGTACTTATTCTTGAGTCTGTCTTCTTTCAGCAGAGTTGTTGAGACTCATCCACATGGATGTGTATGTCCCATAAAGAATAACCCATTCTTTATTATTGCTGAGTAGTGTTCCCTTGCATGGGATTTGGTTTTCTAGTCGTCTGTTGGTGGACATTAGGACTGTTTTCAGTCCTCAGCCATCACATATAAAACTGCCATGAATATTTGTGTACAAGTCTTTATATAAATGTACGATTGTGTTTCCAGGACATGCCCTGTTGTATTATCCTTTTAATGTATTATTGGATTAGATTTGTTAAATAGTTCTTAAGTTTTGCACCCACATCCATGAGAGATATTGGTTGTTTCCTGTTTGTCTTTGTCTGGTTTTGGTATTAGAGTAATGCTGTTCTCGTAAGATGAAATGGGAGGTATTGCCTCCTCCTCAGGTTCCTGAAAGAGTTTGTGTAGAATGGGTTTTATGTTTTAAATGTTTGGTGGGATATACCAGTGAAGTCATCTAGCCTGGAGGTGGTATATGTTCTTGTGGGGATGTTTTAATTATGAATTCAATTTATTTAACATATACATGGCAATTAAGGTTATCTATTTCTTCTTGAATAATCTTTCATAGTTTGTGTCTGTTAAGGAGTTTGCCTCTTCCATCTAAATGATCAAATTTATTAGCATAAAGCTATTATAAAGTTACCCAACATCCTTTTTAATATCTGTAGAATGAATCTATAATGATATCATTTCTCTGGCTCATGATTCTGGTAATTCGTGAGTTCTCTCTTTACCCATTGATCAGTCAGTCTGGCTAGAGGTTTATCAATTTTACTGATCTTTTTAAAGGAGAAGCTTTCGGTTTTATTAATTTTCTCTGTTTATTTCTATTTCCTATTTTATTGATTTCTGCTCTGGTTTTTATTATTTCTTATTTAGTGGAACCAGGTAATTGATTTTCTCCTTTTCTAGTACTGTAGCTATTTAATGTTATTCATTTCTTTCTAAGTATTACTTTAGTGGCAACCTATAAATTTTGATGTGTTTTTAATCTTATCCTGTTCAAATATTCATGGCAACTTTATATGTAATAGCTAATTTCCATTTTGATTTTTCTCTGACCCATGAGTGAGTTAGAAGCATATTAATTATTTCCCAGACTTCTAGGTATTTTTCAGATATATTTCTGTTATTGATTTCTAATTTAATTTCATTGTATGACTCGAATCCCTTACAATTTTTTGTGACTTGCTTCAGGGCCCAGAATATGCTCTGTCTTGAGAAACATCCTGTGGTCCCCCCTGACCAGAGCACGTGCTCTGTGTTTGGGATAGGGGTGTTCTCTAAACGCCGATTCGGTCAAGTTGCTGGACAGTTTTGATAGAGTTGCCTGGTTCCTTTCTGGGTTTCAGTGTACTTGTTCTGTTGAATTATTGTGGAATTTCAGTAAGGGCACTCAGATCTCTGATTATAATTGTGTATTTATCTGTTTCTCCTCTCAGGTCTGTCAGTTTTCGCTTCACGCATTTTGAAGTTCGGTTCCTAAGTGCATAGACACATTGAATTGTTATGTTCTCTGAATGAATCTACCCCTTAATTATTTGGAAGTGACTTTCTTTATTGCTGGTAATATTATTTGCCCTAGAATGTATTTGGTATATCAATAACCAGTCCAGGTTTCTTTTGATTCATATTAGCATGATATATTTTGATCTATCCTTTTGCTTTTAACCCATCTATGTCTTTGTATTTTAAAAGGTTTCTTGTTTTATAATGCAAATAGATCTTGTTTTTTAATCCAGTCTGACAATTTCTGTCTTTTAAATGGGGACCCAGATTATTTATACTTAATGTGATTATTGACACAGTCAGATTTAAATCTACTTTCTTAGTGTTTTTAAATTTTTTCTCACCTGTTATTTATTCTCCTTTTCCTCTTTATTCGTGTCTTTTTTGGCATTAATTATTTTTAATGATCTCTTTCTTAGTTTATGAGCCATAACTCTTTGTTTTGCTACTTTAGAAGTTGCTCGAGGGGGTTATATTTTAGATCTTTAATTCATACGGTCTGCCTTGAAGTGAGCTCCTGTCACTTCACATACGGCACAACTCACGACAGCGCACCTCCGTTTTCCTCTCCCAGTCTTAGTGCCGATGTTGTCCTAGACTTTGCCATTCCTTGTTATAAGCTCCACAGTTGTTTTTATTTGAAAACTCGATTATCTTTTAAAGCAATTTAGAGAGTAAGAACACACCCTTTCCTGTGCCCTTTTAAGGTTGATGCAGTGCCTTAGGAGGCTAACACAGGAGGGTAAATAAAGTCAGTCTCCATAAAACCTGAGACCAGATGGTAAAACTCCTCTTTGGATCCTGTCTGGAGTCACAGCTGAAGAAAAAATAGTAAGAATGATATCTCATCCACTTACTCATATAATCACCATTTTCAGGGCTCTTTATTCTTTTGTATGGATTGTATTTTTCTATTTGCTGTTATTCTTCCTCTGCCCAAGGACTTTCTTTATTTAGCATGTCTCATAGGGCAGGTGTGTTGATGGTAACTTCTTTCAGGTTTTCTATGTCTGAGTCTTTATTTCACCTTCATTTTTAAAAAGCTGCTTTTGCTGGAAATTAAATTCTAGATTGATCATCTAAACTTATTGATCTACTGTTGCCTTGCTTGCATTTCTTCTCACGAGGAATCTGCTGCCACCCTTATTTCTGCTTCTGCACATTATAATGTTTCTTTTTTTCCTTTGGTTGCTTTTTCAGACTTTTCTTTTTATGTTTTGAGTATTTGATTCTGACCTGCCTCAGTGTAGTTTTCTTACTTATTTTTGTGCCTGGGTTTGTTGAGCTTCTTGGGTCTGTGTGTGTTATGGGTTGAGTTGTGTACCTACAAAATTAGTGTGTTGAAGTCCCCATGCCCAGTGCCTCAGAACGTGACCTTATCTGAAAATAAGGTTGTTGCAAATATAACTGGTTAAGGGGATTTTCTTTAGGGCAGGCCCTAATATAATATGACTGGTGTCCTTACAAATGTGGGGAATTTGCACATAGACACACAAAGACAGTATCGTGTGAAGGTGAAGGCAGAGATCGGCGTGATGCCTCTATAAGCCCAGGAATGCCGAAGGTTGCCAACAAACACCAGAAGCTAGGGGAGAAGACTGCAACAGGTTCTTCCTCAGAGCCCTGAGTGGGAGCCGCCCTGCTGACGGGTTGAGTCCAGACTTCCAGCCTTCAGAATGAGGAGACAGTGAATTTCTGCTGTGTAAGATGCCTGGTTTGGGGTGCTTCCTATGGCAACCTCTGAAAATTAATATAGTTGTTTTATAGTTTTTGTAAAAGATAGATACAGTTTGGCCATTTAAAAAATTATTTTTTGTTTCTCCCACCCCACACCCCCCTTGGGAGCCTTCAGTACATGGATGTTAGGCTACCTAAAGTTTGTTTTGTTTTTGAACCTTTTTTGCTGTTTCCTTTTATCCAAGTCAACTCGATACATAAGTTTGATAGTATTTTCTTCTGCAATGCCTAATCTGCAATTATTCTTCTGCCATTCAGTCTATTTTTCATCCCAGAATTATGATTTTCATGTCTAGAAATTTGATTTTAGTCTTTGGAAAATGTCTTCCATATCACTGACTAACGCCTTTACTTTTTCTTCTAGCTTTTTGCACATATGGAATATAGTTACAATGTTTCAACATTCTAGTCTGTTACTTTTGACATATGTCAGTATTAGGTTGGTTTTGATTGGTTGATTTTTTCCTTGTTTGGGTCATGTTTTCCTGCTCATTTGTGTACCTGGTGATAAGTTTTGATTGGATGGATGACAGACACTACAAGTTTTACTTTGGTAGGTGCTGAATATTTGTGTATTATTATAAATATTCTTGAGATGTGTTTTGAGAGACAGTTAAGGCTATTAGAACCAGTGTGATTCTTTTAGGTCTTTTAAGTTTTGCTAGGTGAGACCAGAGAAAATTTTACTTAGGGTTTATTATTTCTCACCTCTGAGGCATGACCCTTCTGAATTATCTAGACAATATCCCATAAATTATTAATTTTTCCAGTTTGGCTGGTGGGAAATGGTTCTATTCCCAGCCCTCCCTAAGCACTGAGCATTGCTCCTTCTAATGCTTTCAGGTGCTCTCCTGGCCTTTTGTAGTTCCATCACTGCTCATCAGCACTCTGCTGAGTACTTGAAGACCACCTGCCCGTCTCTGAAATCCCCTCTCTCCAGCTCTCTCCTTTCTTGTTCTCCGACTTGTGAACCGTAGGCACTCTGGTCTGCCCAATGTCTCCACTAAGTTTCCTCAATCAGCAGGCCCCTGGGGCTCACCTGTCTGGCCTGGGACGTGGCCTGGAGACTCTTCAAGGCAACAGTGGGGGTAATTGGAGAGCTCACCTTGTTTGTGTCCCATCTCTCAATGATCACTGTCCTTCATTGCCTAATGCAACAGGTGTTTTAGTTCAGGAGGGAAAGTAAATCCAGGTTGTGTTGGATGAAAGCAGTGATTGGTAACACTTTTCAATCAGTAATAATTGTATATTGAGTGATTGTCATGGTCTAGGATGTTGTCACTGCACCAGACTCTTAAGAGAGATGGTTTCTTAAAAAAAATCCAGTAATTCTGGTTCAAAGACCTACAGATAGCACCAGGATGCTGAAAAAGACAGCTTAGAGCTCAGATTTATAACTATAATATCAATAGCCAATATACTTGGTGCTTTGGGCATGGAGTATAAGTGACTAAGGTCATGAATGGAAGTCCCATCTGGCATATTTACTTTCCTCTCTCCATGAAAGTCGACTGTAGGCCTGACTCTAGTCACCCATATATACAATGATTGGATTAGGGAGAACAAATATAGAATGTTAGAAAAAATAAAACCATTGTGAATCATAGCACATGATTTTGAGTCCCATCTCCCACTTACTAGCTCTGTGACCTTAGATGAGTACCTTATCACTGCCAAAATGCTTGGTTTCCTATACAGTGGGAATACTAATTTCAACTCTTGTGATTCTCACTTGCTATGAGACAAGGGATGTGAAAGTGATTTGTGTGCAATCAACTACTAGGGTTATGTTATTGAAAAATAGAAACTCCAAGTACATTCTACTTGCATAGAAAGCTCAAAGACACAGTCTTCTGAGAAGGGTGCAGTCCACATGAGTCAACCTCCGAATCCCTCCACTGTAGTGAGCATGAAGCTTTGCACACAGCACATTTCTTCAGAGAAGGATCCGATTGGCTCAGCTGCACGGCACAGTGCTGAGTAAGAATGGGAAGTTCAGCACTGCCAATAGCAGAATATCCCTGAATCACATCCACCCTCTGCCTCCACCTTGAGTCAAAAATCACTGCATGTCAGAGTTGGAGAGAGTTTGGAAGAGAAATTACAGACTTGAGATCTGTGGGCCATATATGCATAGATACTTTTTATAGTTTATTTTTTCAGAAATTTTCCTTTTATTTTATTGTGTTCCTTTATTCCAGTTTTATTGAGATATAATTGCTATTTATTTCCTGTACATTTCATTGTACTTTTGGGAAATGAAATTTTGATGACAGAACCAAGCCATGTATTCACGAGGCATGAGTCAAATGATATCTTGACAGTGACATAGGCAGGTCACATGATAACACCAGGTTGCTTATTTGATCTCAACGTGAGCGAAGTCGGCCACTAAGTATGAGTTAAATTCAATTCCCTCAAAACTGCGTATCTTCGGACTTTGGATGGTGCGTTACTCCTGTTGGGCCCAGGTTTCCACTCATATCTTCATTGTTTGGAATTAATTTTACCTTAATTTTTTTTCAAGGATTTACAGATTTTATACTCCATGAATTGTTTTATGTTAAAAAAATGCCTTTATACTTGAAAGATGATTTAGTGGGATATAGTGTTTTTTAGTCATATTTCATTTCTCTTTGCACTTTGTACCCTTAACTGTCTTCTGGCAATGGCTGCTGTTGTGGAGAGCTGTTGTGCCAGCTGATCTTTTTGCCTTAGAAGAAAAAAATACAGAAAATATATTACATGGGTTACATAATGTACAGTATAAATATATTTACAGAGTGTATGTGCACACATATGCATTAACACCTGGATTTTGCCGCTTGTGCATCAAGTTTTGTTTTACTGTGCTGTGCTTCTTCAATATGCAGGTTTAATTCTTGTGTCGTTTCAAGGACTATTGCTGTTTTTACCGTGTTTTCACAGTTAAACATTTTTGTTCAGGGCACCAGTGATGGAGATGGTGGAGGAGGGGTTGACTCATCAACTATTTAACTGTTTGGTTTCATACACTGTAGCTTATTGAAGTTAGAGCATTTTATTCACTGATGTGTCACCAGTCTCGTACAGGGAACAGCCCGCAACAGGACCTGATAAGTGTCTGTTGTATTAATACATTCAAAATCAATGTCTTACTAACTGGCATGTGGAAAAACAATGCTTAAGAGTCTGTTAAGCAGGTGAGGAGTTTGGGCCTATTTGGCTGAGAAGATTCTTGCATGGGCAATTTTAATAGCTTCTCAGTGGTACAGGTATGGAAAAAACAACAAAACTGAGCTCACGTGGTGGGCAAGGCTAAGAAATGAAGGGCACAGAGGATATTGATGATTTTCAGAGCAGGAGGAGCTGGCCAGGAGCGCTGACAGAGTCCCTGGAGCCCGGAGTAGGTTCAGCTATATTTCAGCCTTCTCTGCTCCAGGCCGTGAATTTTTGCAACATTACTCAGCACAGAAAGTGCAAAATCATTTGTAACTACCTCTCGGGGGGAAAGGCATGAGTGCCCAGAGACTCAGAAAGAGTTGAGTTCTCACAATTAATTTCGCTCTGGAAAATGAAGCTGGGAACCATTTTCTTCTCTGATTCTAAGGCTGCCTCGTGATTGACTTTTGGCAAGATAGAGTTGACATTGTTCTAAAATAGGGATCTTCACAGGCATCTCATTGGTCATCCTTTGTAAATATATGACCAAGGGCTAAAAGGAACCAGACATGGAAACAAAAGAAACCCACAACACTAGGCTAAATAGGTGTTTCCTTTCATTTCGCCTTCAAATAAGTTAGTATCTGGGCTTCATGCTGAGGGCTTTGTGTGGGGCCTGCGTGTGCATGTAGGGGACCTGAGGGTCATGCCCGCAGGGGTTTGTCAACACGGAGAACAGCAGAAAGTTTTAGGGATGCAGACCAGGACCTGGACAAGACCTTGAAATAAATGGGGAAAGCTGACTAAGACCTGTGAAATGAATGCAATTTTGAATAAGATAATATATTTTGAAGAGTATTTGACCCATAGAAAAGGGTTGAAAAGGTTGAAAAGGGTCATCTAGTCCAGCTTTGACCAGTGTGGTGATTTTAATTAGTCTA